TCAGAGGAGAGATCGGAGCCTGAACTCAGCAAGGCAGCTGGGGGAGTCAGAGGAGAGTGGGCCGAGAGGGATGAAGGAAGGAGGGGATGTAGGGGCCGAGGGAGGCAGTGGGGTGGAAGGCAGCTCGGGCCTGAGGAGGCCCACACACAAACGCACCATGTGGGTGTGTGAACCGATGAATGAGATTTTTGAAAAGCAGAGCTGTGTACACATCTTTAAAAATCCAGCCCTTAAAGATTATCCAGCCCCAAACCCTCCCTTGTTGTTGTCATTTAGTCGCTCAGTGGTGTCTGACTCTTTGCAACCCCGTGGACCGTACCCTGCCAGGCTCCACTGTCCACCGGATTTCCTAGGCAAGAATACTGCAGTGGGTTGTCTTTTCCTACTCCAGGGGATCTTCCCAGCCCAGGGAACAACAACCCTCCCCACCTGTCTTCTGATTCTTTACACCGAGAAGCCCCCAAATCCTCCTTAATGGGGAGGAAAATCAACACCCAGGTAGGGAACACTTGCCCAGTAATCTTCAGGGAGTTAACAGCCTGAATCAAGCAGGCCCGAGTTGATTCCTGGTTAGAAACTGTGTGATCCTGGGCTAGTTAGTTTTTCATTCTGAGTCACAATTTCCTCACTGATAAAAATGTGGATTGTAAGAATGAAATGAGGTGATGTAGTTACAGCTGGCTCCATGGGCCTGGGTACGGGAAGGAGGCTCCGTGGATGTGACTGGTCTTTATCTTCTTTTTCCCAAGACCACCCCATCTGTCCTCCCCTGTGTTGGAGGCTACATCATGACCGGTGTGGTCAAAAGTCATAGGGTCAGCTGCGTGGGTGCTTGGGGCTGGTCAGTTACAGAGCCAGGGGCTTTTGAAGTGTGGGTAAGCTTATTTTCTTATCAACCACTCAAGGGAGAACAGAAAAAAAAAAAATGATGTCAGCTCAAGACTGAAGGAAAAGTAAAAACAGGGATTCAAAGGAGGGATTCAGAAAAGTTTAGAAGCTTAGAAACAGCTTTGGAGAAGGGAACAGCAACCCACTCCAGTATTTCTTGCCTGGGAAAATCCCATGGATAGAGGAGACTAGAGGGCTACAGCCCTCTACAGTCCATAGAGTCACAGAGAGTCAGACTGGACTCATGGATAAAACAGCAACAATGTTGCTGAAACAGCTTGGTTCCAGTTTTCCCGGGACTGTAGAAACAGCACTGGACAGGGGATTGGGAGCTTTCTCTGATCCTTCGTGCGGTCACAAAGATACTCTGAATTTACCTCTGTCTGCCCAGATGCAGGAAAGGGAAGGATGATCGGCCTTGCCAGGTCTCTACCAGCCAGGGAGGTCTGTGTCTGGACTGGAGAACGCTTTCTTTTGCCGGTCTGGCCAGCGTGAATGGGAAAATCACTTCCCTTTCTCAACTCCCACCGTGTGCCCCTTGGGGATTTCACACAACACCGAGGGTGTTCTCTGGGAGCTGGGGCTTTCTAGGTCACCCTTGTTTAGAGTTCCTTTAAAACCCAGAGACAAACTACCCCTTAATTCATGCACTGCCTGGAAGGGGAATCCGCCTTTCAAAAATCCAAAGGAAGCCATTAAACCAGGTTGGTAACCACTGTGACTCACCATGAGCTTTCCTTCATAAAAAATGAGTCAGAACGACTTTCCAGGAAGTTTGGTTACTTTAATTAGCTACCTCTTTTTTTCTTGCCCTTAAAAACATGCAGTAATTTGACAATCACCCAAGTATGGATGTTACCAGCTACCAAGCTGAGCCCCTAAAAGTGAAGGATCTGGGGGTAGAGGTGTTCCAGACAACATGGACTAAAGGGTCTCCTTGGAGTGGAGGACCCGTTAAGAATTCTTCCCTGAGTGGTGGAAGAAAGGAGCAGGATCAATACCTAGGGTTGACCCTCGAGGCCTGGGTGAAGGGGTGAAGGGAGCTCTAGCTACCTGCAGCCCCAAAACACTTAGCAGCAAGGTTCATTATATACATTGCATCTTTTTTTTTTGGCCGGGCTCATGACATGTGGGATCTTAGTTACCCCACCATAGATTGAACCCATGCCTCTTGCAGTGGAAATTCAGAGTCTCAACTGCTGGACCACCAGGGAAGACCCCAGAATCACAAAACCTTAATGATGTCATTTGAGGAAATGATGGCCACAGCTGTCATGACTGTGCTAATGGCTTTAAACATACCAGTTCTCAACCAACTTTCTAAGGATGTACATTAATTGTCCCCTTTAAAAGACATGAACTGGGACTTCCCTGGTGGTCCAGTGGCTAAAACTCCATGTTCCCAATGCAGGGGGCCTGGGTTCAATCCCTGATTAGGGAACTAGATCCCACATGCTGCAACTAATCAGTAATCAACTAATCAACTATGTGTAGCCAAATCAATAGACAAAAATAAATTTTAGAAAAAGATGAAACTAAATTTACTTATCAGATCACACAACCAGTAAGCAGCAGAGCTGTTTTCTTTACCCTACATCTGTTTGATTCTAAATCCATACTCTTCAAAGGTTATCTGTTCCTGCTTCCTGGGGAAGCAAAGTGGTCTAAGGTCACATTTTGAACTGACAGTCACTGGGATGACAGTTGTATTTGAAAGATCCAGTTTACGTTCAGATTCTTGAACCTACAACCTAGTCTGTGTGAGCTCCTACACTCCCAGACAGGAGGCCGGAACTGTGGAGATGGCCAGTAACAAATAAACCTTCCTAATCCCACTCAGTCGTGTCTGACTCTTCGGGACACTATGGGCTGTAGCCTGCCAGGCTTTTCTGTCCTCGGAATTATCCTGGCAAGAATACTGGAGTGAGTTTCCATTCCCTTCTCCAAGGGATCTTCCTGACCTGGAATCGAACCTGTGTCTCCCGTAGTTCCTGCATTGGCAGGCGAATTCTTTACTTCCCTGGTGGCTCAGCAGTAAAGAATCTGCCTTCCATGCAGGAGACTTGGGTTCTATCTCTGGGTTGGGAAGATCCCCTGGAAAAGGAAATGGCAACCCACTCCAGTAGTCTTGCCTGGGAAATCCTGTGGACAGAGAAGCCTGGCGGGCTACAGTCCATGGGGTCGTAAAAGAGTTGGACATGACTGAGCAACTAAACAACCAATCCCGTCTCAGGATCTGAACCCCCTCCATCTCTTGGCTCACTTTTCAGGGTTTTATTATAGGCCCTTCTCACTCCCGACACAGGCACCTTGACTTGGTCCCATAACTAATAACAGAGCTCCAGAGCTAGCCTGCTAAGTGCACTCTTCCACCCATATGGACACTTTCTTAACTGTGTCCTCACATACCCAGGACAATATACCTGGCCCAGATGAACAGAGTTGGCTCCAGCCAGCCTGCTACAGGGGGAAGGTGACCCAGCTTCTCCTGAAACAAGGCTTCTGGACTCTCCTTTTTCTAGGGAAGAGTTCAGAACAGTGACAGGCCTGATACTCTTCAGGAGAACTGCTTTGAAAGCCTTGCTCAAGTTCTGGAGATTAAAGGCAATTTTCTTCACAACTGGAAGGAACAGATGCCCCACTCCATAGACCCTATAGTAGCACATACTCATCTAATAAAAAAATTGACAAACGGTTGCAATTGGCCCACTCTCTCCTAACTTAACTGTCCCCAGACACAAAGCAAAATATAAACCTGTGCCACCACCTGTGCAGGCAGACAGTATCAATACTAAACTGGGGAGCGGGGCGGGCAGGAAAGTTTATGGTAAATATATCCTACAGATGCCTCCACAAGACCCCCAGTTTTCTTGTCCCTGATCCAGAGGCTTTTAGCTTCAAGAATGGAACTAGACTGGGACTTCCCTGGTGGTCTAGTAGTTGGGAATCTGCCTTCCAATGCAGGGGACGTGGGTTCCATCTCTGGTCTGGGAACTAAGATCCCACATGCCACAAGGCAACTGAGCCAGCCCGCCTACCCTACAGAACCCATGGGATCCCATGTACCACAACTAAGATCCAGTGCAGCCAAATAAATAAATACCAAAGGGGGGAAAAAAAAAAAAAAAAGAATGGAATGAGACTGCACCTGAAGACTTGGGAAAAGATTTTAGCTCTGGGGGACATCGATTCTCTTCCACTTCTAATTTTTACGCCTCTAATGATCTAGATGAAAGACTAATTGAGGTCTTGTTGGGATGCTATTAAAGTTATTTGGTGGTGTTACAATTTATACTCATCTTTCTTTAAGTTCTTTTTAATTATATGGAGCTTTCAAAGTAAGGACGTCAGAGTTAAAAGCAGGGAGCTATGAAACTTTCTTCTCAATTCTTTTCTGTTCTTTTTCTCTTATTCACAAAGCAAAATCATCTCCAGGCACTAAGCCTTCCTTTCTGGGTCTATTTACCACCCACATGCGTGTAATTTGGAAGACGAACACTTGTACATGGGCCTCTTTGGTTAGATCCTTGAGTAGGATTATTGAGAAATCTGGGGTTAAAAGGCCTTAGTTCCCATTTACCAAAGACAGGTTTTGCCTTCCGTCAGCCAGTAGCATCTGGGAACACAGCCTGTTGTTTCTAGGGGTCTTGGAATGGCAAATGAAGAAGTGAATCTCAGAATGTTCCTGGGGGTCCAGTGGTTAAGATGCCAAGCTTCCACAGCAGAGAGTGTGGGTTCGATCCCTGGTACGGGGACTAATAATCCCATATGCTGCATGGTGCAGCCACACACAAAAAAGGTGGGGGGGAGAAGGAGAAGTGAATCTCCTCCCTCACTTGTTTGTTTCTAAGGATCTAAGGCCCTATCCTAGCCTAGTTCCAGAGACTTTGCTCTACTGTAGACCAATGTCTGCTGTTCAAAGGCTCCAGGGTCATACCCCCATCTCTAGGGAACCTCTTCATTTCCTGACTCAGCCTTTGGGTCTGATTGGCTGAAAGACCAAGCCAGAAAGGATACATGAAATGAATAAGAGATCCATGATTCGATGAATTCCAATAACCCTCTCCCACCCTTGCTTTTCTGTTTCTGTCCCCAGAAGAGAAGACCCTTACCTGTGTCCACCTGGCTGAGAGCACTTCGAGCATCTGTAGAATCTGCTACGTCCCCACTCATCTTGATATCTGCAGGGAAAACACAACTGATTTTAATAACAGGTCACAATTTTTCTCACTCTGACATATGTGGCTGTAACTAAACAGTGAAGATGAATGTGTAATTACAACAGCCATCAGACTTTCAAATTCCTGATTCCTGAACATACAACTATTAGAATATTCATAAGCTTGGGGGCACATGTACTCTTCTCTCAGGCTAGCCTCCTTTCTCCCCTTTCCTGGGCTACTGTAGGGTCTCTCCCACTTTGTAGCATTCGTTGCCACTACCTTCCATCACCAGGCTCAGCTGGTTAAAAATTTAAACAAGGGGAAGGGTACAACAGAGGGTGGGTGGAGCATGGGGGAGAATGCCTCCCATTCTTCATCGTCATTTCATTTGGGATCTGGAGAATGTAAGTAATCTTTAAAGTAGCATAAGAAAGCCATCTCCCACCCTGCCCCCCACCCCCACCATAATAACTCTAACCTGGGAGGTAAGAGTACCCTTGAACCAAGGCCTGCCCTCCTCATCTTTCTCTCCCAGTCCTGCCTCTGTTCTCTGCCTGACTCTCAGAGGTCAGCCCACTGTCTAGGGAGCAAACCCTAGTATCTGTGTGGCCCTCTTTGGGAATCCTTACCTTCTCTCCTACTCCTTCAACATTTGCAGTTCTTTAGTAAGAGAGGGGCGGTGAGCGGGTCAGTGCCTCACAGCGAGAGAAGGCCTACACAAGGCCCCCGTCTCAGTCCCCAGGTGCTGCTGGTCTGGCCTGTCTGCCCTGCTTCATTTCAATAAATTAAACATTTACCCACAACAGACAGCTGCCACTACCTAAGAGGCCCCTAAGTCTCCTCCAGGGTGCACAGAGAGAAGGAAAGATGTAACTTTGAACTAACTCTCTTTCTCTAGACTCCTCTCCTTATTAAACCACTCAAATACTGAAGCCGTTAAAGACAGAAGAATATTTTATTCAAATTGGGTTGACACCCCCCCCCCCATCACCTTACCCCCACCCTCTTCTCTGGGGCAGCATTTTAACTCTTTCAAATCTGATAAAGTCTGGGTGAGCCAGTTTGCATACCCAGCTCCCCAGCCAATGTCGGGTAAGCAGGCCATCTTCATTTGCATCAGGTAATCAGGCAGTTGGCAGTCTGGATGCCTGAGGTCTGGAGAGGATCAGGATGAGGGAGAAGAGTTGACCTCCCCCCGAGGGGAAAAGTGGGAAGAAACTCATTTATTTATTTAGTTTAGGGCAATGACGTGTGTGGCTCTGGCAGAGATTTAAATTGTGGTCCCAGGGGTAGCAGTGACCACAATGCAGAAGGGGTGACTGTCACGCCAAGCGAGACAGAGATGGGGAGTCCCAAGGCTCTCCAGACCTTGAACACCCCAGCAGCAGGGGAGGGTGTAAGCAACTTTAGGAGCCACTGTAGTTTGAGGAGTATTTTTGAGATCAGCCTAAGTGACCACTCCCAGATGAATGCATGGAGCCTGGTATAGCCCGCCTCAGACATCCATGCTGTCCTGTGTGGTTACAGACCTCGAGGGGAAACCCTGCAACCACACCCGCCACCCCTCTCAGTGCATGACACTTGAGAAAGCATTTCTCGAGCCTAACCAAAGTCCTTCCTGCTGCAGTTTTAAACTTTCTGTACAATCTGTCATGCATAAATCTGCAGCGTAACTAGTGTGGGCCACCTGGACATGCCTGCAAAGGATTTCTGCTAGTCCTCACTTTCTGCTCCAGTGGGGAAATGGGCTTTGCTTTGTCCTACCAATGAAGTCCCACCCTTGAGCTGGGCATTGCCTACCACAGACAGGCTCAGTCACACTCCCCCATAGGGATTCTCAACAGTGCTGAGAAAAAGTCAGAGACTGATGAGGAAGCAGGTGGAGGGGGTGAGTTCTCACCCTCACTGGCCTTTTAAACCTGCTTCAGCAGTCCTGGGAATGCAGAGTACAGATTTTGACAGCAGACAGACAGACCTGGATTTAATCCCAGTGCTATCCTAACTAGCAGGGGGAATCCTGGCCACACATGTGAACCTGTTTTCTCAGCTGAAAAAAAAAAATAAGAAAAGAATGATACTTCCCAGAGTTATTGTGATGAGCAAGTAAGATATTGAATGAAAACAGCCTGGCACAGCACTTGGCACAAAGAAAGCACGTAATAAATGAATGAACTAACCAGATACTTAGGCTTCAATGGGGTCCCCTTCTCCCATTACAATAAACAGCTTTGGTTTTCTGTCTCAGCACTATCATAATTCGTCCTTTAGGTGGAAAGGCATCTGCATTCTCCAAATTCTGACTTCATTAGAAAAATGCTCATGGGAACAGGAAGAGTTTAAGTAGTAGTGAGGCTGGGATGATAACCAAGTATTCTGAATCAACTTATTTCAAACTTCTGACTTTTAAGAAGGGTAACTTTTTAGCTCAACTGTAATTTTATGCCTGTAACCCAGACTCTCCTCTAAAACCCACTCCCTGCACCATCTTTAAATCTATCGCAAAGCCATCTCTTTGACCTTTTAAATTAGCATTAAAAGGTAGTCCTAATCACATTGAAAAATAACTTTTGAAGGAGTCAAAAGCTCCACACTCTACCAGGACATCTACTCGTTCGATGTACCCATCATGGGAGCAACATCGTGATACTTTGCGATTGGACAGAGATGTGGGTCTGCATGGAGGGGCAGGCTGAGATGATCTGTAAAAGCCCTTAAGTGCCATAGGATGCTAAGATACTGATAACCTGTTCCTGTTGGGTAGGAGGCTGAGGCTGACGGGCAGAATGAGCTCTTGGGTTTCAGCCTAAAAATGGGCCAACACCGAAACTCCCCGAGACGCCGTAACCCTTTGCCTGTCGGACAACACTTGCCGGAGGTGAGTGGGGGAGGCGTGGGGTGGGGCCAGGCTTCTCTGCTGTTCTTATCTCAGTTGGCACTGAGGAGGCTCCTTGCCATCACTCCCTTCCCTGGGGAGGCTCAGCTGCTCTGTGTAAGAACCCAGATACCAGACAGCCCCTCATCTGCCTCACTGGCGCCGTCATTCTCTGAAGCTGGGGCAAGGTGTTGGCTGCTGGCCTTGCCCCCCTGATGCCTTGGCATGACCCAGCAGCAGCCCCTCCTGACACATCGGTGAACCAGGATGTGTGTGTGTGAACCTGTAGGAGCAGAGTCCAAGGGGCAGCACTTCCCCAGGCTGCGGGCTGAGCGCCCACAGTGTCCTGGACCTCCTGGGCCCAGGCGACACTGGGAAAGCAAAAGGTCCACTCCCCTCTCTCCTACGGTCCATCTTCAACTCTTCGGAAGGGACTGGAGCTCCTCCTGACTTCTCCCTCCCACACCTACTGCTGGGGGCACGTCTCCCAGAGGCGATTCAAGGGGCCTATCAGTCCTGCTTCTAAGCTAGCCATGTCTCCAACTCCTGTGTGGAGGAGACAGCTCTTGCCTCCACTTCAAGAGAAAGGCACACCCTCTCATGAGACATTCCAACCCTGGGGTCCCGAGCCATAACTGGTATCGGTCTGTGAGACTTGAATCTTCTTTCCCAACTCTGATGGGGAACAGCTCACAGTGAGGAAAGGGGCGAAACAAGAGGTGCCCTGGGACTAACTAAGTGTCCCCCTTAGGCTGAATTCCACTGTCTCCTCTGTCTCTTCTGCCTGAGGTTTTTGACTCTCTTTTTTTTTTTTTTTCTGGCTACACTGGGTCTTTGTTGCTGCACATCAAATTTCTCTAGTTTCGGAAAGTGGGTACTGCTCTCTAGTTGCTGGGTGTGCAGGCTTCTCATTGTGGAGGCTTCTCTTGTTGAGGAGCACAGGCTCTAGGAGACAGAGAGAGACCAAATTTCCGCAAAGAGGATCCTGAACTGAGAGACCCTAAAGAGGGGCCCACAAGAAGACGCTCCATAGATGGACCCTCCCTCAGAGACCCCACAGCAGGGTCCTCAGTGAAAGACCCTAAAAAGACAAGCTTGGAGTAAGAAGCCCACTGAGAAGACCCAGCAAAGGGAACCCTCAAATGGAGACCCAGTCAGAGAGGCTTCACAGAAAGTCCCAAACTGAGTGATCCCTTTGAGGTGCTGTCAAAGGGGAACTGGACACCACAGAGGGGCCAAGAAACCTCACAGGAAGGCTGGACAGCCCCAAGGGGAGACAGGCTGAAGAAGTGGGCTGGGGAGTGGCAGCAAGCAGATGTAGAGAGATGACTCAGGTTGCCCGGGTGGATGCAGACCCCACCTGAGGAGGCAGCACCCCTCGGTGTCTGCCTGCAGGGGACAGGGCTGGGGGAGGTGCCGGGCTTCTGATAAGCATCAGCCTGGAGCTTCCTCCCAGGCCAGGCAAGGAGGGCTCAGCCTCCTCACCTCAGCCTCACCCTCTAGGGCTCTCGGCAAGATCCTCTTCACCCTCAGGTGGCCTCCCTGCTGGGTTTCAGGGTCCCCCCTCCCCCTACTTCCCCCAGAGCAGGAGCTTCCAGAAGACAACGAGGTGGAAAACCCCCAGGAAATCTCTGATCTTCCTGAGGTCTTGTTCCCCATGTGTGCTGAGGCCTTCTTGGTGGGAAGTGAAGGAACGAGAGCCCAGGATGGGCTCTTGGCCGCGTCCAGCTCCATATTGGTGCTTCAGGATCTGGAAATGGACTTTCCCCAAACATTGGATGATACCCAGTTGGATGGTTCCTTCCGCCTCACCGAGCCCTTCCTGGCACATTCTAGTGCCCAGGGATCCACTCAGAGTTAACACCTCACTGTCAGCTGGCTTTCTCTCAGCCGCACCAGGACTATGTCTGGGGAAACTGGGGTCCCTGGGTCTCCTCCGTGCATCCACTGCTGCTTGATTTCAGGACTGGCCGCTCCAGGAAGGGCCTAACTCTCCAGCCTGCCCTACTCCTTGGGTTGGGTCTTGAGAATTGCTTCCTCCATTCTTCCTCCAGAAAGCCAGGTAACAAAATTCCCACCAACAGCCCTGAAGTCCTTAATAAAAGCCATGCATTGGGTGCTGCCCCTTTTGAGAGGGAAGTCGCTGGTTTGAAATGGCCAAACCAGGCTCAGCTTTCTTCACCTGGAGTCCTTCTCTGCTCAGGCCCTCAGACCTCCAGAAGGCCCACTCCAACACCAAGTCCAGCCTCTGGTATTAGGAGCTCCTGTCCTCCCCCGGACGGGGAAGGAGGGATCAGCGGGGTGAATGGAGAGGGCCTTGGTTCACTCCATGCCCACAGACCTTTCATGAAGGGGAAACTGACTCCCAGAAGAGTATTTCTATGGCCTAGGTTCCCACCCCTGGGGAGAGGAGAGCTTGGAATCTAAATCTATGGGACATAGAACAAAGAATACAGGAACTGGGTACCCCTGGGTCTCCCCCGCCATGCACCCACTGCTGATGTATCTCTCACATCCCCTCTCAGAGAGAGAGAAGGACTTCCCACAGAGCCCTGAGCAGGCTGCTCCTCCGGTAGGGTCCCACAGAGCTCCGGCTCAGCCCCTGCACATGGACTCCCCAACCCCGCCGTGCACCAGCCTATAAGGTCACCTAGATCCACACAGCTGGGGAGCAGGTACACCTTCATCCATGGGGTCTACTCCACCTTCTCTCCCAACATACCTGAGGACAGGTAGACTCCCCTCTGATATTTGCCAGACGTACTTCCCTAAGCCCTAATCAATACATGTGCGTCGAAGCAGCTGCCCTGGTTGTGCCTCTGTAAATGCCCAGCTCTGTTCGCTTCTCCTAGGCACCCTTAGACGGCACAAATGTCCATTTGGCCTCCACTTCATATAAATGCCGGGGACACCAAACACCAACATGTGGATACAAGTACTGCCCTCACTTCTGCGCTCCCAGGTCCACACCCCTGGTTGAGCCAGTGAGCCACACTTCTGCAGTAAGTGAACAGGGCAACTTCGCCGAGCCTAGGACAGCCCAGCACGCCCGGGTCCCACACAGCTGTGGCTCTTGGGGTGCTGCGAGCCTTCAGAAGCCCTGCCACCCCCACGCTGTAGCCCCCACCTGCATTCTTCCCCCAAGCCCCCCAGACATTCTAGGCGCCCGCCCGCCCTGGGTGGCCCGCTGGCCACACCGCCCTCTCCTGGCCTCAGGGGAGCAAGACCCCCGAGAGCGGCGCCCCTGTCCTTCGCCCCTTCCCGCACGCAGGGACACCTGTCAGAGCTCGCGCCCTCCGCCCCTCACCTGGGTGCATGGGTTCCAGATTCACCATCCTGCCCCAGACAGGGCCAAAGCCAGCGCCCCCCCAGGCCCCTCGCGTCTGCCCCAGCCGGGCCCCGGGGGAAGCCAGGGTCTCCTGCCTCCTGCCCCCGGCCGCCACCGCCGCGGGAGACACCGCCGGAGCCGCCGCCGCCGCCGCCGTCGCGCGCTCGGCTGCTCGCTCTCGGCCGCCCGGGCAGCGCTCGGCGCGGCGGGATTGCCACACTCCCCAGGTGAGCATGCCGCGCGGCGGGCGGCGGCCGCGGGCCACGCCCCCTGGCAGGGTCCCCGCGCCTGGCCCCGGGCCCAGGCAAAGCAGCGATTTGCATTCGGGGAGCCGGGGGCCGGCGGAGGGGGCAGTCCGTGCTGCCGGGGCGGGTCCCGACCCTGCGGAACACCTGTCCGCCCCAGACCGGCCGGCGGCCTCTCCCCACCGCGCCGGGCCCTCGGCGACCCAGGCTCCCGGTCCGGCTCGCCGTATTGAGGAACCCCTGGAGGATTAACCAGCGGGGGCCTGAGCTGTCGCCTGGACAGATGCCCCAGCCCTTCGAGGAGTTCTGGAGTGTCTGGAGAAGCCACAAGAGTGTGCTGGAAAGAATCTAGAGTTGGAATTCTACCTCTCAGCCGCTTGCCGGCTGTGTAACAGAGTAGGCTCATCACCTCCCTGAACTCAGCTTACTCACCCATAAAATGGGGCAGGTGCTAATCTTAACTGCATCTAATGATAGGAACTTAGCAGGTGCCCAAGCTCACCTAAGTCCCCATGCATCCTCATCTCCTCCTGGGACCTGGATGGGGCCCAGCTAATTATCACGTCTTCTAGGTAAAGATTCTGTCTCTTGCCTGCTCTATCAGGTTCCAGGTTGCTGTGAAGCTCTTTGAGAGGATGATGTGAAAGTTATTTACTGAGTGACCGGGGCTGTGGGAGCAGCCACCTCCCTCACGTACAGAGCTGGGAAGTGACTTGTCCAAAGGCAACACAATACCCTAGTGATGGAAGGAGCCTGGCTGGGGGTAGGATCCTGGCCAGGGGTAGGTCTCTGGACTCCCACTCAGTGCTCTCTCCAGCACCCATCCTAGACTCATCCTCTGAGCTCCCCTACTCTTCTGCTCCACTCTTCAGGTCCCAATAAGAGGTGCCAAGGTCAAGAGACGACCTGCCTATGGGACTAGGAAGCTGGGCGCCCCCAGCAGAAGCAGTCCTCACCTTACCTTCCAGGCAGGTCTCCCTATCAAGCTGCTTACAGAACAGTTCTCGGACTTTTCTGCCTCTATGCATTGTTTGCAGCATTTTTTCCAGTTGGTATATCCACCCACCATTCACTCCCATAATCCCCATCATAACATCCAGCATTTACTGAGCTTTCAGTGTGTGTCAGGCAGTGTGCTAACCAGCACTTTAAAGGCACTTGATCTTGTTTAGTCTTCATAACAACTACACCCGAACACACTGGACTGTTATATTTCCATTTTACAGGTGGGGAAAATGAGGTTTAGAGGGTTTAGCTTGCCCAAAGTTACCCAGTCAGTAAGTAACAGGGCTCCTATTTGAAAGCTCTATACTCTATTCCCTCTGTACGTAACTCAGATGCCACCTCCTTTCTGAAGTTAGAAGTTACCTGATCTGTTATTAAATTACCATAACATTTCAATGTTCTTAATAGCTCTTGTGGCCAGTTCTGTGGGGCTTTTCTTATTCTTCCTCCTGGTTGTTAACTGATTGTCTTCCCCACAGCACCAAACACCATGTAGGGTACATGGAGTCAAAAGGACTCCGTGGGTGCCACAGTGGCCCTGCAGGGATAGGAAGTGTTTAATAAGCACTTCTTCGGGTCCATACAACCACTCTCCCCCAGTTGCACCTTCCTTTCCTCTCCCCACCCTTGGCAAGAAGGCAGGAGACTTTCTTTCTGTTTCTTCTGGCAGAGGAAAGAGACCAGTAGCTTTTTGGAGGCCTCGTGAACCCAGGGATGTCCCCTCCCCATTCTGCCTCAGGATACTGCCAGCCTGTCCCTTCCTTCCCTTCTCTTTCCTCTCCTTTTCCTCCCCTCCTCCACTTCAGGTTTGGCCCCAAACCTGAGGCCATTGCTTATCTACAACTGCACTTCACTTACCATCATCCTAGAAAAATGCCTGCACATAGTTTATATACCTGTGTGTGCTTGTGATTTCCATGTCTCTATTTGCATACTATTTGCATAGCCATGTGCACCAGGGGTCTGATTCTCTGACCATCATTATCTGGAACCTGTGTCTCTTTTCTATGTGCAAAGTTACATTTCTTTCCAGGGATTTACTTTTCCAGAAGCCAGAGGAACATGTACCTAATGACTTCTAAGGGACTTCCAGCTCTAGCAGCCTAGGATTCTGGGGTCCTGGGGTTGGGAGGGGTGGAACTCCTGGGGATGGGGCCACTGGGGAAGAGATGGGGCCTTATAGGTTCATAGTTGGAAGGACAGCTGTGGGTTCCAGACCATGGGAAGGGAGATTGTGTGCGGGAAGGGAGATTGGATGGAGGATGGGAGGGTGGGGGAGAGGTGGCAGATAGGACCTCATTGTCATTCATTTACTCATTCATTCAATAAATATTGACTGAGCACTTCCTATATGCCAAGGAAGTTCTCCATGCTGGGCATATGCCTTCTTACTTAGCATACCTTTAAGAGAAGCATACAATTTTTAGGTTCCTTTTATAGATGAGGAAACTGAAGTTCAGGAGGATTAATATAGCTAGTAGATGGGAGAGTAGAAATTTAGACTAGGTCTGCCCGACTACAAAGCTGGTACTATTAATCCTGCTGTCCAACATCTGAGCCTGTCTCCTCTTCTCTTCTATGATCATATCACTCAAGGTGGCAGGAACATAGAAATAATCATATGACGGACCTTGAGGAACCTCTCTGAGGTCCACAAGTGGGGAAGACTTGCCCAGGCTTTCCAGGTGGCTCAGTGGTTAAAAAATCCACTTGCCAAAGCAGGAGACACAGGAGATGCAGATTCAATCCTTGGGTTGGGAAGGTCGCTTGGAGAAGGAAATGGCTACCCACTCCAGTATTCTTGCCTGGGAAACCCCATGGACAGAGGAGCCTGGCAGGCTACAGTCCCTGGGGCCACAAAGAGGTGGACTTAGCTATGTGACTGGGCATGCATGCACACAGGACTTGCCCAAGTTCACACAGCAAGTATAGGAGGAACAGAGACCCTCTATTCTCTCTGTTCCTTCTTCACATGTTCTTCCTGGGCCTTTGAAAGTTGGGTGGGGTGAGGGGCAGTGTTGGATAATTTTTGTTCCTTCCCTTTCTGACTTGCTTGATGATCATTTCCACTAGATGAACTGGAACAGGAGTGCAAAAGACCCCTTTGTCCCTCCCTCCTTCGTGGAGACTGTGAGTGCTTCTATGGAACGCTCATGAGTCTCCATGAAATCAGCTCTCTGAGTTCTGGGCAGATGGCAGGTGGTAGGCCCCAACCCTTGGGGCCTAATACTCACTCCATTCCTCTGTTTAGTGTGGAAGAGAAAAAGCTGTGGGGAGGGGAGAGAGATAGGGAGTTGCCTGGAGGTTGGAAAGGAACAGAGGAAAGAAAAGGGAAAAGAAGCAAGGACAGGAAATTTCAGTGCCTTTGGACATCGAAAGCACCACATGCAAATCACATGTAAATTTTATGCAAATAACCTCCCCCTTCCTCCTTTACCCCCACCCTCTCAACAGCTGGAGGGCTTTTCCAGAAAGCAGCCAAGTCTTTGCTCCAAGATCCTGTTGTCCCCAAACTGTGATCAACTTGGATCCCTCCTGGGGTCCTTCTGGTCCTCCTGGGGTGACGTTTGATCCCCTCGGCTGCACCTCTAGGAAGTCACTAGCCTCCCAGCCCCATTTCTACTTGAGCAAGCTGTCAACTTCTTTTACTTCAAGGACAGAAGGCTCTGGGAGTTAAGTCTACCCTTCCAGACACATTTCTGGAAACAAGCTTTACCCCTGGAGAAGGTGCTTGGGGAGGGAGGTGGGACCACAGCCCTGTTCCCCACCTCAGCAAAGTGTACTCCTTGGCCGCAGGCCCTCCAGCTCACTCTCATTTCCTGTCATGTCAGCTGGATTGAGTTGTCAGGACTGGGAGAAGGGTGGAGAAGCCAGGCAGCCTGGAAGGCCACCAAGTAACAAGTCTCATCTCGTTCTTTCTGTCTGCCAGATGGGCTGTAGGGCCCGGAGTATAGGGGTGTGGGGTGGGGGGGTCAGCCCCCTGCCTTGGGGTGACCAGAGGGAACAAGATTCAGCTCAGGCTTCCCACAGGACCAGATGGAAGGAAGACAGAGGCCAGGAAGAAATCCTGGGTGGGCCTCTTTTAAAATCAGACCTAGAGTCCATCTGATGGCACCATTGCCAGGAGGCGTATTGGCAGAATGGGGATGGAGAGGGTTAGTGTCGGGGTGACAGAGGGAGAGGGGCTCTGGGAACCAGAGTAAAGCAGCTTTCCTGGGAAGTGGACAGGAGAGGCCATGGTGGTCAGGACGTAGCTGTTCCCTGCCCCTGATAGCCCCAGTGCTGAGCCCCACCCCCGCACCCCCACCCCCACCCCCATCTAGGAGGAGTACACACAAACTTGTTGCCCGCTTTGCTCTTGAAGTTCTCAAATAATAGATCATAATATATGTGTTTAATTTTAAAAGAGCCTAACAACTCTGATCTCCAGTGAACTCTTTTGACCTTGGGGCCAGCATCGGTCCAGGGTCTGGCTACTCTAATCACAACTTCTGCAGAGCCTTGCCTCAGTGAGCCCTTGCCTCCCCCAGACCAGGTAAGCCTCCCAGCCCCCTGCAGGCTCAGGGCAAGTCTAAGCCCAGGGCGCCCTCTTGTGGTGATGGGAGTGTGATCCTGACTCGCACCCCCGCCCCACCTGCTCCTCCAAGATTCTGGAGAGGTCTCCCCACTGTCTCCTGTGGTGCCTGTCCATGTCCGGGAGACCCACAGGCAAGGGTCCCAGTTCCATACCAGTTGGAGATATTGAGTGTTAGTTTCA